ATGGGGTCAGGCGTGGTGGCTCACACCTGTAATTCCAATACTTTGGGAGTCTGAGGCAGGAGGATCATTTGAACCTAGGAGTTTGAGACCAGCCTGGGAAACATAGTGAGACCCTGTCTCAAAAAAAAAAAAATCCAAATTTGGTGAAGACAACCCCTCTCAATATTAGCACATAACTGTCTCTAGTTTTAGGTTAAAATAGAACACAATTTAATTTATGCATGTATGTGCAAAATGATGATTGCCTTCTGAGAGATGAGACATCGGAGAGTGAGCCTTTAAGATCATTACCTTTCTCACATCACCGCTGCGCTGTCATGTTTAATGGTGTCTTATTACAGCAGCCACTCAGGTGTCTAATGTTAAACCTTCTTCTTGTCTGGCCTACGGAGGGTGGATCACACAATGATTCGGAATTGTCAGAAATGTTGGATTTTAACCTCTGCCCCAAGGATTACCGTGAATGGACCCCTGGACAAATTCCTTGACTGTCTTGGTCTTGTCCTTGTAAAAAGATCAAGTGAGATGCAGACCACTTCTAGCCCTAAACTCTGATTCTATGTGTTTGTCCCTTCCCTAGGTTTTCTAAGGTGATCAGGGACATAGACAAGTTTCTGGATGCTTATTTCAAAGAAAAGGCCAAAAGCTTTCAGGATGGGGAACAATATCTCTGTTCTTCCCTCTTTGGTCTTTTTATTCTCAGATTCTGATTTTAGATTCTGCATTTTGGCAACAAGTATTGTGGCTGGAGTTTTTCTTTCAGTGGACAGTTACGGAGTGCCAACATGGCAGTCATTGCTTGACACCAGGGTGAACAAAGCAGGGATTCTGCACTTGAGATGCTCTCAGGCTAACGATGAGGGTTTGTGTCATGGGGCTTTCTAACAGAAATGGCACTAGACAACAAGACAGATTGGTGTATTGTCAGAGAGGCTGCCTGGCTGGTAGCCTGCACAATGGGCCTAATAGGGTGGCATACAACCTTGGAGAATTTACCAGAATCTGGTGTCTGTTGCCAGCCTTCCAGGCTTGAGAAGCTGAGTCATGTTAGAAAGTAGGTTTACTTAGCACATCAAGAGTGGATCTGCCTTTTCATTCAGTAAACATTTTGGGAGCACCATGTGCCAGAACTCTTTCAGTTAAAAATAAATTCAGTTAAAAGGAAATTCAGGCTGGGTGCAGTGAATCACGCCTGTAATCCCAGCACTCTGGGAGACCAAAGTAGCCAGATCACTCGAGCCCAGGAGTTTGAGACCAGCCTGGGCAACTTGGTGAAACCCCATCTCTTCAAAAAATACACACCAGAAACAAACAAAAAACTAGCCAGATGTGATGGCACATGCCTGTAGTCCCAGCTACTCGGGAGGCTAAGATGGGAGGATCACTTGAGCCTGGGGAAGTCAAGGCTGCAATGAGCAGTGATTGCACCACTGCACTTCAGCTTGGATGATGGAGTGAGACCTTGTTAAAAAAAAAAAAAAAATGGCTGGGCACAGTGGCTCAGGCCCGTAATCCCAGCACTTTGGAAGGCAGAAGCAGGAGGACTGCTGGAGGTCAGGAGTTAGAGAGCAACCTGGGCAACATAGAAAGACGCTGTCTCTACAAAAAAATTTTTAAATAAAATTCAACTCGAATTTGTGCGTGCCCCCACAAAAAAGAATTTTTTTTTTCCTCATCATCCTGGAAAATCTGGGCATGGGTGGATTCAGGAGTTCAGAAGTTCAAAGATAAAACTGTCTCTCCGTATCCTGGCCCTGCCAACTTCTGCTTGGTGTGATTCTCAGATTCCCTCCTTAGAGTAGCAAGATGACTGCTGTCAACACAAGCCATTCTTATAGCTCATGATCTCAGAGTAAGATGGACCCTCCCTTTCTCAGCAGACTTCCATTAAATCTCATGGAGGGATACCAATTGGCTCTTCTGGAGTTGCATATTCATCCCTGAATCAATTACTGTGGCTGGATTGGTCAGACCTGGGTTAGAAGGAAGGATCAGCCCCTTAAACTATATTGAATGAGTTCCTTACAGAAAGGAGGGGTTCTGCCTTCCGAAGAAGAGGGAAGGGATTCTAGGCAGGAAAACAAAATGATGACAGCTATTCACAGTCGTTCACTGTGCTTGGCACAGGGAATATACCAGTGACCAGGACAGAGAATGCCACTGTCTTTAAGGAGGTTACATTCTAACTGGGAAAGTACACAAAAATAAAAAAGCAGATGAAATAATTATAAATTATGTTGAAGCAAGGAACTGAAATAGAAAATAATGGTGGGAACATTTTTAAAATTAATATGGGCTAGAAAGACCTCTTTGAATGGGTAATTTAAACTGAGCCCTAGAGGCTAGAAAAAAGCCAGTATGTAAAGAGTGGGAAGAAATGGGCTCCAGGCAGTGGGAACAGGTGTGAGAAGAGACTGAAATGGGGAAGAGCTTGACACTTTAGAGAAGAGCAGGGAGGCCGGAATGTAATGGAGTGGCTCAAAGTAGACTAGAGAGAGAAAAAAGGACCAGAGTATGGAACACCTTATAATGCAAAGCTTGAGGATTTAAAAAAATGGTTTGGAGTGTCACGATTGGAGGTGATGAAAAGTAAAAGTCAGAAGTTCCACCAGTTCAGAGATCATTGTAGAATCCAGAAAGATGATGATAGGCCTGGGTGGCCTGCCATGACATGGTGGGAGTGGGTTGTTATAAAGTGAGTCCAGCCCCTGGTGCCTCTGTGTCTTTCATGTTCATTTGCCCTTCCACCATGTTATGATGCATCAAGAAAGCCTCACCAAATGCCAGAGCCATGCACTTGGATGCTCCAGTCTCCAGAACTAAGAGAAATAAGTTCTTTATAAATGACCCAGTCTCAGGTATTCTATTATAACAACATGAAATGAACAGACTTGGAAAAGAATTCATTCTGTGTGATCATTACTAATCTTTCCCAATAAGCAGACTCCTTGAGAAGCGAGTCATGTCAGAAAGCTGCCTGTGCCGGGTGCAGTGGCTCATGCCTGTAATCCCAGCACTCTGGGAGGCCAAGGTGGGTGGATCGCTTGAGCTCAGGAGTTTGAGACCATCCTGGGCAACATAGCAAAACCCTGTCTCTACAAAAAATACAAAAAATTAGCCAGGTGTGGTGGCCTCTGCCTGTAGTCCCAGCTACTCAAGAGACCGAGGTGGGAGAATGGTGTGAGCTCAAGAGGCAGAAGTTGCAGTGAGTCAAGATCGCTCCATTGCACTCCAGCCTGGACAACAGAGCCAGACCCTGTCCCAAATAAAAAAGAACGAGAGAAAGCTGAGCATGAATATTTTGATGTATAGTGGTACAACATTCATAGCAAGTGGACCTAAAAGATAGGCTGTAACAATTGCAGTCTGTTGGCTTAGATCCCCTTCTTTCTGCAGTTTTTGAAAAGGCACACCCTCTATGATGCTCCTTCTGTACATTCACAGTGGGCTGAATCCCCCTCTTTCAATTGATGCGTTCTTTGGACTTTTGAAGACATTTCATGTAGCCAGGGGCTACTTTTACTGATTTAAGGGCCATCCTGCCTCTTTAAGGTGGATTTACATAACTCCTACCTGATTGGTTTACAGGTTGAGTTAAAACTCTCTGAGAGTAGCTTTATTTCTCCTTGCAAGTTTTGGGGGATATTTCTTGAATTTCCATACAATATTACACACATCTATATCAAAGCAAGGTTGAAGGAGATTCCCTGATTCATATATGCATATGCTAGAATGAATCTCCTAGTTCCATTCCAGATAACATTCACAATGCAAAATATTTCTCTTCTAACTTTTCTTAGCATCTATGAGATTAAGTACATACAAGGAATACCCAGTAACGAGCAAAAGGGGTACTTGGGTTTACTATATATTTTGACAGACAACTTATTCCTTAACACCTCTAGTCCCTTCCCTTGGAAATAAACACATCAGTAAAACTCCACCACTTCTATTCCCCTCTACCAAACTGTCACCACCATGAAAATTAGCTGAAAGCACTCCTCAAGGATTGAGAGAGGGCCAGGCCACCTACGTTTTTAAAGTCTCTTGGTATTATAAGTGATAAAAAAAAAAAAAAAAAAAAAAAGAGGATGCCAAAAACAGGATTACAAGAATTGTGGTATATTTAAAAAATACCACAGTTACCAAATTAATGGACGCACCCACAAAACACGGCACACAGTTGTATTCTTCACAAGATAATTACAGCCCTTTATAAAAAGTAGCTTATAGCATACTTCAGTAGATAGTGAGCCTTGTAATGAGACACAAGTTGTAGATGAATATATTTTTCTTTTAATCCAGTCAGTGTTTCTTTGTGACTGTGTGAAGAACTTCATGTGGAGATAAAGTAAAGCATTCAAGTTTGAGACTCTTCTTGAATGTAAGCTTATGTCAAATGTTGCACTGGTGGATCCACCTCCCCCGCACCCCCCGCACCCCGCACCCACTCCATTCTGATTGTCGTGTGTTTAACTAGAAATTGATGGAAATCAGTGTTAGCAACTGACGGCCTTAGAATATTGTCAGTCTCGGCATCCTCTCCCAGTATGATTAGGGGACAAAAGTCTGTATAGAGATTGTGTCCAGGAACCTCTGGGCACAAGCTCTATACAGATTGGCTCTGGGGTCTGAGGGGCGCCCTAACTAGATTAGAAACTGACATGTTCTACCCCAGGGCCTCCCCGAACGACAGCAGGCGAGAATCCTCGCGCCGGACACCGGCAACAGGGTCAGTATCTCGTCTCCTATCTCCACCGACGTGTCTCTGGCTTTTCCGCGCCCCGGGATGCGTCCAGAAGGTCCTGGAGAGCTGTGCGTCCCCTTGGCAACCATACAATGCGCAGGAAGGCGACGTGAGATGGGCTGAGTCCAGCCGGGGCTGGGCTGTGCGGGACTAGGGCGGGACTCGGGGGCGAGACCGGGGCGAGACCGGGGCGGGGCTCGGGGCGGGGCTCGGGGCGGGGCTGGGAGCGAGCGGCCCTGTAGTATCGCGCAGAGAGCAAACTGCGCCTAGGCAACCAGCCGGGAGGGTGAGTGCCGCGCGCGGCAGAAGCTTCTGGCGCGAATGGAGAACCAAGAGTTTCTAGGTTCGTCTGAGCCGTCCGAAGTGACCGATGGGCAGGTCTCAACAGAAATATCCACTTGCTCCGAAGTCTTCCAGAAGCCCATTGTGCTCAGGATTCTCGACACTCACAGCGAGCTTGGAGAGTCGGAGGATCCCGAGAAACACGAGAATCCCGAGGAGCCAGAGGAGGTCAGGGAGCAAGACGAGTCCGAGGAATGTGATGAGCCCCACGAGTCCTATGAGCTCCACGCGCCCTATGCGCCCCATGAGCCCCGGGACTCCTATGCACCCTACGAACTCCATGAGCACCATGCAGCCCCCAAACTTCGCAAGGCCAGTGAGCCCCGACAGCTCCGCCAAGCCCGTGAGCCCCGCAAGCCCCGCAAGCCCCGCAAGCCCCGCGAGGCCAAGGAAACCGAATTACTTCCCAGTGCCGCAGTAATGATCTCCCCATCTCTGATCACCAGAGCCCCGCCACGGCCTCAGCTGTCTTTCCTGGGAGGTAGGTGTTCCCCTTCCCTCATCCCCTCGCCTGCTCCTCCCTTCCCCTTATTCCCCACGCGCTGAGCAACCACGCCCCATCTAGAACCGGGGGTCCTAAGTTGGAGGTTTGCATGCAAGAGCTTGCCATATTGAAAGGAACTCGTGTCATTTACCTGTTGCTTCGCAGTCATCAGCCCTTGCGTTTCAAGGGACTCAGATGGGAAATTGACACCTGATAATGAGAGAAACTGAATCTCTTCTCTTCCACTGCCACCTAATGAGCTATTGTTACCTCTTTTTGAAGCCCTTTTTCATTCGCCTCTACAGTTAGTCATTGCATTCCTCTGGGTTGCACTTTGCCTTGTTAGAGCACTTAAGATCTTGTATTTCACCATTCGTCTTTCTCCTTCACTAAATTTTCTTCAGTGTTTGGCATATGGTCACATGTGGAAACAAAGCATTCATTGAGCAGGTATTCAGAGTGTGCATCTACAAAGTGCTCACGATATGCTCAGTCCCCACCACCTTCACAAGGTAACAGAGCAGATGGGACTTGCGTATAAACATCCTTCGTCCGACCCCCACCAGCTCATTTATGACCCCTCACTAATGACCCAATCCAAAGCAATTATTTGTCCTCATTGGACCGCCAATCTTTTGGGAAACCAATTTTTATCTCATGTTCTCACTGACTCCTCCTCACCCAGCCTGGATTCCATGATCTGCCATTGCAATTACTCCCTTACCTCTTCCAACATTCCATTGGCTCTCTGGTTATCCATGATACTTCTGACAAAACCCCAACCCTAATTGAACCCAGCCATCGATCTTCCTACACCTCAGCAGTTGACTCTTGCTGTGCAAAATTGCGCAGTCATACTGTCTGGTTTATTTCAATTTCATCTCAATTGGTCACTTGGCACTGCCTGGCAAGCTCACTTTATTCCCTTAGTAAGTTAGTTTTCCCAGTCTCTGAAGATGACTAACTGCCTTACTCTCCTCTAAAGTTCACACCTTTGACCCCCCACCCAGCTGAAGACTTTGCCTCATTCTTTATTGAGAAAATAGAAGTGATCAATCACGAAATCCCTTATTTTCTTATAATGGATCTATTGCTTTACCTGCATCTGTACCCATGAATTCTGCCTTTTCTCATATTTCAGGGAAGAATTGTGCCTTTTTTTTTTTTTAATGAAAAGCAAAATCCTTCACTTATGCTTTAGATAGCACTCTCATTTCCTGAAGAACTTTTCTTCCTGCAGTTATCCTCTCTCTCCTACAGCATCAGTTTCTCCCTAATTAATCAGTTCCATGAGCATACTCATACTCTAGAATCTTCCATCTTGAAATAACTCTTGACCCCATGTCATTTTTCAAACTCTCCCCTTCCACCAGCATCACCACCATTTCTCTGTTGTTCTTCATTGCAGAACTTGTCAAAAGAGTTGTCTATACTCACTGACTCAATTTCTTCACCTCTCATTCGCAACACATTTGGTTAGGCTTCTTTTCTCTACTCTCCCAAAACTGCTCTGGTTTACTGCTTTTCTCTCTGCCACCACTACTATCGTCATGCATGGAGATTTCATATCCACTTGGATGATCCATTTGGCTTCTCAGTTCTTTGACCTCCTCACTTGGAAAGATCTTGTCCTTCACCCCATTGTAGGCACCCACTATCAAAGCCATTGTTAACTGCTGTACCATTTCCAGACTATTTCAAGCACTCTGATCTCTAACCATGTCTTAGCTTTCCAGTTCACTCCTCCATGAACCCTCTATCAGATTTTCAGCTTAAGGGACTTCTAATACATTGATCCTACTAACTTTTCATTATATATCACTATCTTATGTCCTGCCGTCTCTCCTCACCTTATATTCCATGGACCAACAATGGAATCACTTCCTTGATTCTCTCTCCCTCTGTCATTCTTGCCTTGTTAAATCCAACTCTTGCTTGCACTTGGAATAACAGATAATGGCAAGAGAAAGGCAAACAACTATGCCAGCTATGCTAACTGACCTTTAAATCCGTGGTCTTGAACTTCAAGTGGGCTCTCAGTGCTGCTTGCCAGTCATACTGTATTTCCCCAGTCAATTTATTTTCCAACTGTCCCAGAAATTATGGTGAGTGCTCTCATTCCTCAACCTTCTGCATCCTTTCCTCCTCGCTCTTAGCTGATGATTTCACTTTTTTTCTTCACTGAGAATAGAAGAAATTCTGAAAGATCTTCATATCTTTCCATCATGAAATCTACCAAAATGCCAGCATCTATATGTACGTACTCTACTTTTTTACCTGTTAATAATGGATGAACTGTCCTTGCTCCTATTAAAGGCCATTCCATCAATCTATATGTTGGATTTCAATCCCATCTTTCAATTCATCTAACTTCTTTAAGCTTTTTGTTCCTAAAATTAGCCTCTTTCTCCTGCTTCATTGTATTCCTCCTCTACTGGATCATTCCCATCAGCATACAAACATGTGCAATGCACTGGGTACGGTGGTTCACACCTGTAATCCCAGCACTTTGAGAGGCTGAGGTGGAAGGATCACTTGAGGCTGGAATTCAAAATCAGCCTGAGCAACATAGTGAAACCTCGTTTCTACAAAAAAAAAAAAAAATTATTAACCATGCATTGTGACACATAACTGTAGTCCCAGTTACTGGGAGACTGAGGCAGGAGTATCACAGATCACCTCAGTCTCAGCAGTTCGAGGATACAGTGAGATATGATCATGCCGCTGCACTCCAGCCTGTACAACAGAACAAGACCCTGTCTCAAGAACAAAAACAAAAACCAACTAACCAAACAACAACGACAACAGCAAAATGCACAATAACTCTTGTCTTTAAAAAAACCCCAAACCTTCCCTGAACCCCATGTGCCCATCCAGGTATCATGATTTCCTTGCTCTGCTTTAGAGGAAAAATTTTGCAATTGAATTACCTGCAAGTCATTATCTACATGTCCTCTTTCCCCCTTTTTCCCCTTCTCTTGAGACCCACTTACATTTTCATCCCCTCCACTTAGCTGTGGTGGCTTTTGCTGAGGTCACAATGATCTCTGCCTTGTCAAATTCAATGGCTAATTCTTCGTCTTCATTTTACTCATCTGACACATTAACCTCCTATTTTCTTAGAAGTCTTCTTTACTTGACTTCTGGGATGCCTCTACCTCTGTAGTCCTACCTCATTGATTGTTCTTTAGTCAGTTTCCTTTGCTGAATCCTCCTCTTCCCAGCCTTTAGGTTGAAGTGACCAATGGCTTAGTCCTCTCAGATTCATTCTTCTAGAACTTTCCTTATTCCTTGGGTGAGGTCATCAGTTCCATGGCCTTAACTATATTCTGGTAACTTCCCAAATTATCTCTAGCCTCAGTTTTTCCCCTAAACTCGAGTTTTATAACCAGTCGTTGATTTATCATCCCTGCTTGAATATCAGTTTGGCATGTAAAACATAATGTGGGCCAGGCATGGTGGCTCATGCCTGTAATCCCAGCACTTTGGGAGGCTGAGGCGGGTGGATCACCTGAGGTCAGGAGTTCGAGACCAGCCTCACCAACATGGTGAAACCCCATCTCTACTAAAAATACAAAAACAATAGCCAAGCATGGTGGCACATGCCTGTAATCCCAGCTACTTGGGAGGCTAAGGCAGGAGAATTGCTTGAACCCGGGAGGTAGAGGTTGCAGTGAGTCGAGATTGCACCATTGCAGTCTAGCCTGGGCAACGAGTGAAACTCCATCTCAAAAACAACAACAAACAACAACCAAAAAAACCATAATGTGCTCACCACTGAAGTCTTCCTGCAACACCCATACGTGCTCTTCCCTTGTTGTTTCCCATTTCAGCAAATGGCACCACCATTCATTTATCCAGGTGCCCAAAAACCTTGGCATCATTCTTTTTTTTGTTTTTTTGTTTTTTTTTTTGAGACGGAGTCTCGCGCTCTGTCACCCAGGCTGGAGTGCAGTGGCGCGATCTCGGCTCACTGCAAGCTCCGCCTCCCAGGTTCACGCCATTCTCCTGCCTCAGCCTCCGAGTAGCTGGGACTACAGGCGCCCGCCACCACGCCCGGCTAGTTTTTTGTATTTTTAGTAGAGACGGGGTTTCACCATGTTAGCCAGGATGGTCTCGATCTCCTGACCTCGTGATCCACCCGCCTCGGCCTCCCAAAGTGCTGGGATTACAGGCTTGAGCCACCGCGCCCGGCCTGGCATCATTCTTGATGCCTGTTTTTCTCTTACACTCAGACTTTAAACCATTAGCAAATTGTAACTTTGAGCTATATCCTGACTATGGCTGTTTCTTAACATTTAAAATGTCATCATCTTTGTAAGCCACTATCATCTCTTGCCTGGTCTAAGGGAGGAGACCACCCCTCATAGTGTCTTATGCCCAATTTCTGCCTCCACAGAAAGAAGTAAAAACTAAAAGGCAGAAATGAAATCCACAGACAGACAGCCCGGCGCCACACCCTGGGCCTGGCAGTTAAATATCGACCCCTGACCTAATCGGTTATGTTATCTATAGATTACAGACATTGTATGAAAAAGCACTATGAAAATCCCTGTCCTGTTCTGTTCCATTCTAATTACTGGTGCTTACAGTCCCCAGTCACGTACCCCCTGCTTGCTCAACCGATGACAACCCTCTCACGTGGACCCCGTTAGAGTTGTAAGCCCTTAAGAGGGGCAGGAATTGCTCACTCGGAGAGCTTGGCTTTTGAGACATGAGTCTTGCCAATGCTCCTGGCCGAAAGCTGTTCCTTCTTTAACTTGGTGTCTGAGGGGTTTTGTCTGTGGCTAGTCCTGCTACAGGTCCACTGCAGTAGCCTCCAGCTGGATTCTTGTCTTGCCCCATCCCCGGTTCATTGTACCTACAGTGGTCACAGAAGTCCCTTAGAACATAAATTATATGCAGTTCTCTTGCTCTCCAGAATGGGTTCTCACCTCAGGTAGTATGTTCTCTGAGGCAGGGATCCCCAACTTTTTTGGTACCAGGGATGGGTTTTG